AAAACAACCTGTGAAGAACACATTTAATCATCAAACACTCATTCTTTAGTTGTGTTTTCTTTCAATTTTTAGAATAATGACTTAGGATGTGGAAGGTTCAATTATATAAAAGCTCATTTTTTTCACTGATTAGTTGCTTTCTAGTCACAAAGTCAGAATTTCATTAAAGCAGTATGATATAAAATGTTTTAAGCCATATTTCCTGAATTTTTTGTGTAGTACACTAAAGTAACTTAGATAACGTACAGAATGTTGCATATGAAATTAACATTGGCAAGAAGAAGGAAACAGTTTTAATGTGTTTTGAAAAAAATATTTTTAACAGAATGAGTTTACACTTCTAGGACCAGAATTAATGCAAGAATTTTTAATATCATAAGTTCATGTGGGCTAAGTTGGGTCAAGGCAGCTTTAGAGATGAAGTCTATCACAGCAGACTATTGTTAGAGACAAATTGGTTGTTACTGTGTTTAAAAGGTGAGACCAGATGTCTCTGGTCTTTATCAGGGATTCAATCCCCAAGATGAGTGTGACCCTTTTGCCTTCCCTCTTCTGCATCTATCTAGAAAAGTGTTCTTCTGGGACTTCAAAGTTGTGAAGAATTTACAGAGTTAAGGGTCCACAGAAACTTCTCTCCCGTTAGTTTTCAACTTAAATGGAAAAAGAATTCTTGGATGTTTTACATTTAATTCCCTTTATTATGAAGTGATTCTTCCCACCAGACAAATAATCACTTAAAAAATACCACTTTGTAATTAGACAGAATGGTTTTTCTGTTACCCAGTCATTTATTTTGAACAGGTTGCATGAATGGAAGTCACCACCTGTAGAGAAAATTATGTTAAGCAAAACCATTTTTACAATTTCTTTTTTTGTGTTTTTTTTTTTTTTCTTCTACCTTGGTGCACATTTTTTTATTTTTTTATACTTAGTTCAAAAGAACACTAGGGAAAGGAATATGCCATCACTGGTCTCCCTTTCTCTTGATTTAGGCTTACTGCCGTATCACTTCTAAAAGTTGAAGGAAGCATTCCTGCAATTGGCAGTGACTTACTCTCTGCTAGGCCATTCATTACTCCTCTAAGAGTGACTCGGGATCTAGTGCCAGTCTGCAGACTGGGCTGTCTGTGACAAGTACAGACTCTGATAGTATGTGGTTAGAAATTTCTTGCAGTTTGAAATTGCCAAGACATCTGAATGCCTAATTTTGTACTTTACAAAAATATTGGCACACAGCAAATTGGAAAAGGTGACCATAGACAACTTGAAAGGCACCGAGCTAGATGATTTCAATTTCTAACACAGATATTCCAGGTGGAGCTGAGGGAGGTATATTAAATGACTGTCCTGTTGATCTAGCTATAGTTGGTTAGGTGCTCAGTTGTAGCAAAGCCCAAATGAATTTGTTTCCCTAGCATAAAATCAAGGATAACCCTAAGTATCAGTGATAATCATGATAATTAAGTGAATTAGCTGTTCATGTGTTTCCTGAATAGCTTTTCATTGTTTCTTACTTGGTTTTGAAGTACTGTCTTGCTGAAGTTTTGTAGTCTAGCAACCTTAGCAATTCCTACATTCTCCCTGGGAAGTTGTTGAATCATTTAAAAATCTTAAAGCTGTGTTTCTCTCATGTTAGTAAATTATCTTCACTACAAAATGTAGTGGCTCTTAAATCTGGCCGAAGTTTGGTCTAATATAAAATCATGAGTAAGAGAGAAAAGAGCTCTACTGACAGTACTCACTAATTGGGAAACTTGCCATCTTAGATATGGTTTGTGTAATTGATCATTGCTTCCTTTAAAAATTTAATCGCATTTGGTGACATTATTATAATTGAACCACGAGTTTCCATTAGCTCTGAAAATATCAATTTCCAATTTAGCGTTATAATCTAAGACATTTTTACCTTAATAAAATTGTTCTAATATTTTTTGAAAAGCTGCTTTTTAAAGAGAGCTACCCACTTACTCTGGGCGTAGGGGAGTTCTTCTTGACCCATGTAAGATTTTTAATTTTATAATGAATTTACCATTAATGCCCTCCTTTGTGTTTATTAATACAGATAAGGGGAATCGGCAGGCTTGAAGCATGAGTTCAGATGCCAGCCAAGGCGTGATCACTACTCCTCCTCCTCCCAGTATGCCTCACAAGGAGAGGTATTTTGACCGCATCAATGAAAATGACCCAGAATACATCAGGGAGAGGAACATGTCTCCTGATCTACGGCAAGACTTCAATATGATGGAACAGAGAAAACGAGTTACTCAGATCTTGCAAAGTCCTGTGAGTTGAAATAGTTCAAAGGCTGTACTTTTTCTTCTTCTTTGGAAACCTTGATATAATGAGGTAGGAGGTATCGTAACCCTCAGCTTAGAAGAGGGGTGAAGAACAGTGACTAGTTGCTCCCAATCTTGCAGAGGCAAAATGCACACCTAATCTATACATTTAACTTACAGAGCTTTAATAGCAAACTGGTATTGTCTTGGTGGTGTCAGTTCTCTTTGGGTTATTTCTGAATGTAATGCTTCATTAAGGAGGAAAAAAGATGCTTCTGAGCTCAAGGACACCCAGTTCAGACTGAATATCTGTGAAGAAATGGAAGGCAGGACGGAAGTGTTAAAAACCAAGAAAGAAGTTAGGTACATCTCATACGCATGTTTTCTTCTTCCCTTGGGTCACTTGACAGTCAGATCAGCATAGGAAGACCTAAGGTTTTGAGGTCTGTGATTTGGTAGCCGCATGTTACAGACCCCTAATGTAGGCACTCATATATGCATACACACCAAACTAACTAGATTAAAAGTGGATTATAATATAAACTCAAGATGAAAATTCTATCTTCACAGTAGTATCCAGACTTTGCAAATTATATTCAGGTGATTTGTTAGTTTTCTTACCCTTAATGGAATTGCAAAGGTCGCATATAAGTGATAGAAAATGAGAGAACAGTTTAATTTAAGATGCAAAATTAACTCATAACTTTATGCATAATGAAGGTCATGGTCCCCTTAAGGCAGACAGAGTTCAGCACACATAGACTCATGATGCCCAGGTTAGAGTTATATTAGGTTTCCAACTGAAGTACTAAAATAAGCACCAAGGCATAGAACTGCCTGGGGTGGCCCTGGTAAATCATTTTTGTTGTGCCCTTGTGAATTTAATCACAGAGGTTAGTCCAAAGCCAAAGGGGAATTCCACTCTGAGTAATTCTCCTATACCAGTGGCCTAGATAAAAGCAAGTACAAGTTATAAAAGCAGTGCAAGCTTTGAGGAATTTAAGTATAGCTTAAATTTAAAGCTATCCTTTAAATAAACCCTTAAAGGAACCCTTTCCCAGTGGAAAGGAGATTAACCAGGCTTCATCATGAGGGAATAAATGTTAAGTGCCTTCCTTTATGCAAACCTGAGTTTCTGTGTTTAGAAATACTTGAAGGGCATGTTAATTTTTTGGATCAAAAATAAATATATTTCGTCTTCTAAAGGAACCCCAATTTTAAGATCTAACTTATTAGCTAAATAATTATATAACATATTGTATAAAGTAACTGAAAGGACGAGATGAAGTTCAGATTTTGTTCAGTGTTGTTAGATAGTGAGGTTTCTTTGGGAAGTGATTGAAAGAGGACCATTGAATTCTAACTGTAAAGTTTATAAGGAAGAAAGACTAAACTACATTTCCATGTGAGGTTTTTTGTTTTATAATTTCCTCATTAAACTAAAAACAGCATAACTTTGAATAGATTATCTAATTTTTAAATCTTATGTATTTTCATTTGTAACTTGGCTTTAAAGTATCAATTTTACTTATGCCTAGGGGAACTTAATAAAATAATGAGAAAGAGCAGATATATAGATTGTTATTTTCATATTCATGTAGCAAGAGTGATAATCTTCAACCCAGAGAGTAACAAAGAAGGTTTAAAAGAATTGTGGAGTGATCATTTTTCCCCCTAGATTTTTGCTAGTGAATTGAAAGTCTTGTTGTGAAAGTGTAAAATTTTGTCTTCCTGCCATGTTTAACACAATAAACTTTTCACCAAAGGAAATTATACATAGTGGCCTGTATTAGTTACCTATTGCTAAATAACTAATTACCCCAAAACTTAGCATCTTAAAACAACAAGCTTTAATTATCTCATCGTTTCTGCGGGTCAGGAATTTAGGGCAGCTTAGATGAGTGGTTCTGGCTAAAGGTCTGTCGTGAAGTTGCAGTCAAGACATCAGCCAGGGCTGCTGTCACCTGAGGGCTTGAATGGTCCAGAGGGTCACTTACATGGGTATTGACAAGAAGCCATAGTACCTTGCCACATGACCTTTACTTGAGGCTGTTTGAGTGTCCTCTGCCAGACTAAGTATCTGAGAGAGAGCAAAGAAGAGCCCCCAGTGCCTTTTATGACATTTAAATACTATCATTTTTACCATATTTATTAGTTAAAAGTGAGTCACCAAGTCAGCTCATACTCAAGAGGAGAGGATTAAGCTCCACCTTTTGAGGAGAGGATTGTTGATTCTCTGATCACAATTATATTTTATTTTATTTTTAAATATATCTTTATTGATTTCAGAGAGAGGAAAGGAGGGGCGGGGAGAGAGAGAGAGAGAGGAACATCAATGATAAGAGAGTCATTGATTGGCTGCCTCCTGCATGCTCCCAATTGGGGATCGAACCCGCAACCCAGGCATGTGCCCTGACCAGGAATCGAACCCCGATCACCTGGATTCCAGGTTGATGCTCAACTGCTGAGCCACGTCCGGTCGGGCTCTGATCACAATTTTAAAACACTACGGTTTGCCACAGTCTATTTACCTTCCTCCCCCCTGCAAAATACACTCACCTTTACCTAACGCCCCTACAAAAGTCTCATTCCAGTACCATATTAGCCTGAACTCAGAATCTCATCTAAATCTGGTCCATTTATATAATTCTGGTCCTCAGGTATAATTCCTTAAGTATAGCTCCTCCTCTCAATCTGTTGACCTAAGAACTAAAGAGACAAGTGGTGGGGCAGGCAAAGATAACCACCATAACATTCCTCCTGTTCAAAAACGGGAAAAGTTGGGTTACAGAGGCATAATTCACCCATAACCATTCTGAAATCCATCTGGGCAAATGTTTGGAAGTTCCCCTGATGAGGACTCAGTCCTTCTGCTTAACAGAGGTGAGTCTCCTTAGGTCTTGACTCAGCCTTCTGGACTCTGGGTCCTTCCTCTGAAGCATCATCCCTTTTCCTTGAAAGGTAGCCTGTGTTTGCAACTGTGTTTTCTCAACCTGCTTCTTTCTTGTAGAGGTTTTGGTGTTCAAAGACTCCTTTTCTTTTTGTACTGTCTTTGTTCCTTTAAGCCCAAGCTTGCATTGTTTCTGCCAACAGAACTCTCTTAAAATTTGTGGGTCTCGTATAAATATTGGGGTTCCTGTTAGACAAAACTCATCACCAATAAGATAAAAATCAAAGATATTTCTAATTTGTGTTTGTAAGAAACAAATTTGTAAGCCTTCTATTTAAAATGGTGAGTTCATTTGGGAAGAAAAGAAATCAGGAGAGAAATGAATGAACGTGAAGTATAATACTACTTTTTTTTATTGAGCACTACTATGTGCCAGGCACCTATTATGTATCAAATCCTGTTTAATCCTCAAAAACTCAGTCAACGAAGTATTAATATCCCTAGTTTACAGATGAATAAACTGAAACATAGAGACATTAAATGACTTGCTGAAGTTTTTACAAGTTTAGTTAAAGATGGGGTCTGAATTTAAACTCCAAAGTTTACAGCCTTGACCACTAAGCTGTACCACTTAAAGCATTCAATAACATTGAAATAATTTCACCCATATATTGTTTCACTCATCTTCAAATTTTCTTGCTCAACTTAATTTCACCCAACTCAAGAAGAGTTTCCAGTCAGAAGACATTTTGGTGTCTGTAAATTTGAATGACAAATGTAGCACATTATTGTCTTGAGCTGAGAAAATAAGAGAAGAGCATAGAATTTCTCTCATCCAGACTCCAAGTACTACTTCTTTCTAGGAATTTCATGACCTTGTGTCATAATTTTTTTTTAATTTAAGAAAGTATTTGCCTTAGAAATTAAATGCTGGTGAGTAAACTGGTTAAGCTAGAGATTTTGTTAACACAGTAGAGAGCAGCCACAAGTTTTCTTTGACCAATATACTTCTCATTTATATGTCTATGGAGACCCTAGATTGTCATTTACTCCCTTGTCTCAGAATGATGTGTTCATGGCAAACCACTGGAATTAAATGGCTCCTCATCAAAGTTAAAGAAGTGTGTAAGTTGAAAAACTAACAGTACTTTGTGCATAGTAGATATTTAGTAAATTCTGAATACAATGATAAATGGATATATGAATAGCTGAGTGCGCTTTGAGTCATTAAACACTTGAATGTTCTCCAACAAGCTCCTACAGAACTTGATTGCTTAATATGGAAAACAATTGGTGGGTTTCAGAAAAGGAATGGAAGTTCTTATACCTCACCACTTACAGGAAGCAATTTAGACTGGTTGACAGCAATGTTATTCTGAAAGACAGCACAACAGGAGTGTAGGTGGTGAGAGTTCAGGCACATGACACACTAGCATTTCTTATCACAGGGCGATGTATGATGCTATAAGCTTATTAGAAGAATGGAGAAACTTCAAAGTCATATGCATTTAGAATACCGCTGTAATAATTAAGGCCTAAAATTTAATAGCACCTTAATTAAAATAGTTGGTTGAAATCACCATGATTTATCTTGGCACTTCTGAAGTTTCAGATGCAAGTAATCTTTATTAACTTTGCATTTTTATTATATACCAACTTCAAGAAAAGAGATTATTCTAACATTTAGCTTCATATTAATTAATTGAGACTTAGCTACAGGAGAAGGACCATCCAGAAGAAAACTTGGTTTATTTGTTTTTTCTCCTTTCAACAGGACCAGTGATAATCTATTTCCAAATGAATACATTTCTTAATGGAGAATTTCTAAGTAAGTTTGTTATGCTCCTAATCCCTCTTTAGGAGAGATCTAATAACATAATTGCAGGGTGCCTTGGGAGCAGCAAGTCTGTAATCTTTTTTTCTTTTTGCTCCAAGTTTTCTTTCTAGTAATTATTATGAGGTAGAACATCCACATGTGGCTATTTTAAATCCATCTCCTGATATTTATCAGTATTGTTCGATATTATGTATAAATTAGCCTATATGATTTTTTTTCAGCTTTAACGGAAATAATTGTATCAGGTCAGTTTCTTTTGTCAAAGTGGTCCTCTTTTTTG